GAAGATGTTACCTAGCTGGGTAATGAAACGTTTGCAAGAAAAGAACCAAGCTCAGAGAACCTCAAGGACTCCATAGTGACATCAGTCAGTAACATTTATTCTAACCTGCAATCCCTGTATTCTTCATAAAACCACTGTCATTTTAGTCCCACTTTTATTGCCTCACTACTTCTAATCTCATTGATCACTGGTATTGCAATATTTTCATTTGCATCAACCTACATAAGAGGGTTGTATCCCACCCCTTTTAGGTTTGCTATTACAAACTATCAAAAGATTTGTGGTTCTGCTGACATAGTTCTAGTCCCCATTATTAAACAATCTCATAAAAGAGATATTTCTCCTGCATAGCTGTTCGTCCATTATGCTCTGCCTACTTGGACAAGATATTCTAGGATTGTCTTGGCAGCCTGCTCCAGCAAAACACTTCCAGAAATAGTTTTAAATTTACTGTTAAGGGTGACATTCCTGAATCCATCCTCTCTGCAAAATCCAGCAAAGATACCCTGATTTTAGCTAACAATTTATCCATCAAAAGAAAAAAAAATCTGCAGATTTATTCCATGAATCCAGAGTAAAATGAAGTTTAACTTTGTTTAAACATTTCCCAGCTTCTGTATTCCAACCACATCCAGGAAAGAATGCAGCACTCAGATTATTGACCTTAGCAGACAAAAAGCTCCCAACCAAAAGCCTAGTTACCAACAGAAACAGAACTCGCAGGCCTTTGTTGGAAAAGTGACCAAGAAATTTAGACGATTCTACTTGCAAGGTGACAATTCTTTTTAAAAACTGCAATTGTTGCACTTCTGCTGCTGCTCTTAAAATATCAGGCTGTTTGGACAAATTTAAGTTAATGCTTAGCCCAAAGCTGACAAATGCTATTAAGAAAATTATGATTACACCATTCTAAGATCTTAAGTGTTAAAGATCTTATATTGTCTTATCTCTTCTCCTTAATGCAGTTCTCGGTTTCTCAAGAAAGGGGGGGACTACTACTCAGTACGTGTAGACAAAATTAAGCCTTTATTACAATGTTAAACTAAAGGAGTGGAAGAGGAGAATTTAAACCTCATTCATCCATGAACTGACCTGTGATCAGTTAAACTTTTTCAATCTAAACTACCTCATATGGTAGCTGTTAAGAAGCCACACAGAGTCTTCTGGAGTTGGCAGCCATAACAAATCTAATAAATTAAATTAATGATATAAAAAACAGAAGAAACAGCTATATTGGAAAAATATTGAAATGAAATTCTGGGTGAAATATATGTATATAGGATTTAACAATATGTTTATGTAGATAGATTTTGATAATTTGCCATTTAACTGTAGGATTTTACAAGGAAGGTTACGTACTATTGTTGGGGATGTTCTCAGTTTATTTTGCAGTACTTGTAATATGAATGTATTTAAATATTTAAGGTATGAGTGTCCAGACAAAGTGCAAAAGATGACCCTTCACCAGACAATCTAAAGCGCATGTAATCCACATAGCAGAACATTTAAATATGTAAAAGTTAACACTACTTTTTCATTAGCTTCATTGACCCTCAGGCCCCAATGCGTACCAAACAATGTTATCAAGTTCAAGATGAAGCTTCAGAGCTATAATTTTGAACTGAATCATTATATATATTTAATAACCAAGTCATGTGAATGGATTCACATTACAGCTTCATTCAGGGCTGTAATAAACACTTGCTAGGTGGATACAATATCGTCTAGAAGAAAGAATACCAGTAAGTCCCACTAGAAGAAACAGTGCTATGGCCTTATTAATTTGAGGAGTAAAACTCTAAAAGACATTTCATTGATGGCAACATCATTTATATTTTTTAGCAAACATGAAACTGATCATCTGGATACAGGTATTACTATAAATCAGTTATCCAAACAATAATCTTTCATTTAGATAAAAACATAAATATGCACTTGGTTTACTACTTTGTCCTTATGCTTTTTTTTTTCAACAGAGTTCTTCCCATATGAAATCTTTAAAAACAAAACCACAACCACGTTAATAATCAAAACTGGAAAACAGTAAATATAAGTATTAGTAATTCCTAAAGACAAAGTAGGCTTTACAAAGGACTCTACCCAACTACAAGCTTAAAAAACAGTGTATCTAGAAAATTAGAATATTTTGGCTTCCCATATTCCCAAGTGCAGCTAACAGCCTTTCAACAAAGTATGTATCGGAATAAAAAGGAACTTACCTTTAACTCACCTGGAATGAGCTTTAAAAATTTGTGCACTAAGAAAAGACAGTTTGAAGTTTAAGTTTTGTTCTCACACATATAACCTAAGAAACAAATTAGTAATTTTTTCACCGTGAAAACTAAAACAGCTACCTTACCTTGAGGCTGGCACGGGAACGAGGCTGACTTAGTTCACGGAACTTCCAGCTGTCTGATCCAGGAGTGTCCACTGATCCTCTCTGAGAATCGGGAGTAAGAAGTGCATCTCCTGGAGGGAGTGGAAAGATGCCCAATGATATAGGAGGGTCCTTTCTGTGGATAAGGGGGACAATATTGTATGTTATAATTTCTTACAAATTCTTGATTTTTGAAATTGAAAATGTTAAAGTCATGTTTATCATTAACTGAACATTTTAAATAAATTCAAGATAAGTGCTCTCTTATACCCTTTAAAATGTAGGCAGCTTATAAGTATCATTTGGGACTAGAGAATAAATATGTAGACAATATACATATTAATTCATTTAGTACGTTATAAACATATTTTCTTGTGACAAAGCTAATATCAACACCTATGGTTAGAAAATCTTGGCTTATAATACATTTCTGAGCATGAAGTATCATGGCAACAACCAACTACAAATGTGCAGAAACAAAGGAAATAGTTAGGCATCAAGTTTGGAAACAGGCAACCAATGGTAAAGGGTTACAATTTAAAACTGGTATCAAGTAACTGTGATTTCAAACAGCTTTTGCTAAGAAAATACAGACTAAAAACTCTCAGAATAGCAAGAAAAACACAAACTGAATAAAGGAAATATATTGTGGAATAAACTGCATGTAAGTATAACTTTCAATTAGCTTCTAAACCAATACTTTCCCAATACACTCAATTAAAGGAGACTTTTCTGCCTAAAGGAAAGATCATTGCAATCCTCTTTCAAAAATCAATGCTCACATTTTACCTATCAAACATGGGTATCTGATTTTCACCTGATGAAAATAAAGTGCTCTAGATTGCTTAATATTTATCCGACCTATTATGCATGTTTATATTGTTTTTCTTGGTTTTGTTTAATAAAGCTAGGCCAAAGCGGAATGAAGTAGGAACCTGCAACACTGAAAAAATAAAATAAAGTTGTACCACATAACAGTTTCTGAATTCCCACCCTTAGCCTCATGTACTAGATGCTGGACAGAAGACCCTACACGCAATATTTTAAAAATACTTTCTAGGAAAGGAAGACATGCAAGCAGTGAGACAAAGAGATGCAAAAGCTAGTTACAAGAATAACATAAATAATATTCTAGTTGTAAACTTACATGGTTTACTGCTCAGATTTTATCAGTTTGTAAAGCAGCATCAGTGAGAAATTTGATTTAAATCAAGTTGTTCTTGTCTATTTAAATTAACATTTTAAATGGGAATTAGAGCTTATGGAAGGTACTACAGTCTATCTTTCCCTTTGGAGAAGCTGCCAACTTATAAGTATCATTTGGGACTAGAGAAAAAAAGGGTCCTCATTGCCATATGGAATAATAATTAATTAAAAACCTTGGCTGCCACACAAAGACATTCATGATTTCAGAGAATGTTTAACAAATATTGACTATAGTCACTATAGTCAAACCGGCAGAGTCATTTGACTATTCAATTGATTAGTATGCTGGTCCTACACATCTGTTCACCAGACTTGCTCTGTACTCTATAAAAGCTTTCATTCACACCATATCGCCAGCCAAGTTTCCCACAGAAAGGATGGCTCCAAGTGGAACAACAAGATCAAGAAACATTGCTTTAACTATCTTAAAGTCTCTATATAGAGTTCTGGTTTTAGACCAGGGCTCCTGTGCAGGATATCTACAGCTGCAAGCAGCCATCTCTGTTGCTATTACTGCAAAGGTCTGGGTCACATCTATCACATTACAGGGTTTTGCCCCCAAAATCATGACCCCTCCTCACTGCAGCATCTGGTTATTCTAAGAAAATACTATTTGCACATGCAAAACAATCAACGAGCATGTTAGCGTACAGGCTAAATGGGAGAGCAAGGAGGGTTGACATGCAGCCAGGCATAGCGCAGGAGGAAGAGATAAAGTTACGTGTTAGCAATGAATCGTTTATGCCACAAGCAACGGAAGACAAGCAGAACAAAGTCTCATCAGTTCAACAAATCAGCACCACATAAAATACCAGGTCAGGTGGCTAAATAAAAGAAATAACTGAGCAACTATGACCACATTCAGCCAACACCTTCACCATGGTTTAGGGGTCAAGTGCACATCAATTCATGTGTGCTGGCTGCCTCTCAGTGCCCTGATTAGCTTGTTTAGAATTCTGTTCTGCCACTGATTTCTGCTTACCACTAAACTGAGAAATAAGCTAAAAACAAGCCAAGCTATTGTTTTTCTGACTAGTTACTGGCATATTATACACCAATCTGAAAACAATTTCTAACAAAGTAACAGCAGCTCTCAGCATTAGTATACAAAATAGACAATTTCACAACAGATCCAAAAGCTGTGGTAAGCGTGTCTCTCTCATGTACCTATCTAAAAGTGTTAAAATGGCAATCACTATAGACAACCTTATGACCAGTATGAAATTCTTCAATAACTCAGCAATCACATGGACAGTATTCATATAAATAGCTTAGAAGTTCCATAAATGAACAAAAGAAGGTCCTTTTTTATGGTAAAGCTCTTTTTAAGTATGCCTCACCTAGGAGGTTCACTGGAGTTCACTGAGCAAGTCTGGGAAGTCATTCTGCTCATTGGTCTGTTGCTACTACTCTGATTTTGTTTCATTGCTCGTAATTTATGCTACTTTATTGTCTTCATTTTTAAACTTTTTTTTAACATTGTGAGGTGCCACAAGAAGCTTTTGCTTATAAGGGTAAATGTTTTTGGATATACAAATAAATATCTACATAAATCAAACAAATCAACATAGCAGAAAAGGTCATTGCACTGCAAAGCTGGAATACTGTATATGTTTTACAAGATGGGTTGTGTATCTGAACAGGCTTTTACTATGTATGTTGGAAAACATTCAGATAGTTTATGTAGTATTTTCACAATTATAAAGGCTGTGATGGAGAGGAAGAAGAGGAGCTCTATTTAAGCTTACTTTTCTCAAAAGATTTTGGTAACACTTTACTATATTTTAGGAAGAGATCTACATAAGAGATTCTTAGGTTGAAACTGCTCTCTCATAAACCTCCAAAAGAATTTTTGATACAAAAAACAGCCATCCTTTTACAACAATTATAATAGTAAAATACCCACTACTCTGGGAGAAGAAGCTTCTTGCTTTTAAAAAATGCTTAGATCAATAAGCAATTTTATTCATATTGCATAGACCCCAAAATATTACTTTCATGAATACAGGTAAATGTATGTTTTGCTTTAAGAATGAATATTTGTCATAAGAGAAAAATTTTAAAAGGCCTCAGATTAGTAGCCAAATGTATAAAAATCTGAATGAGACTGAAAGGATTTCCTAGTTCTGCCCTGAACAGAACTCGAATTATTGCCTTTGCTATTTCCATTTTTGTATACACATTTTGAATGTACAAATAACACAACTACAAACAGATGCACAACCCCCAGAACCACATTAAATGTAATGCTGAGATAATATATGGAATCCAGACTTCTTTTCTGTGTGTGCCATCTAAACTTGATTAAAACAGAATAATTCAATTAACTGTTGACAAACAGCACACATACGTGGGCTATGCAGTGCTTCCAGTTCAATTCCAAAAGTTGTTTGGGAACACTGAGAGGCACAAATGTATCACTTACCTGCAACTCTTTAAAGTAACTGCATCTTCTCCTGGGATCATATGACAGCTTCAGAAGGCAGCTGTGCAATCCCAGGAGAACTCATAGTTGCTTTAAAGAGTTGCAGAAGATGCTACTCTTATGCTGCTGCATATTCCAAAACATCTTTCTGGAACTGAATCCAAAGTACGGCAGAGTCTTAATGCACACTATGCATCTAATTCACCAAAATATAATTTGACTGTATTTGATTGCACATAAAAATAGTCCATGAAACCAAAATACCCGAAAGAAGTCAGAAGACTCATACACGCAGTCATTTATTTTCTACCTGATTTCTGTACAGTATTTTCTAATACTACCTATCTCTGAGACCACCCAGATTTCAGAATAAAAGCCAAAAGAACCCATTAATTTCTTTGATAACTTGCATATATTTAGTTATATCTTCCATACAGTTTTAATATGGGCAGATTCCCAGCCAATAATTATGCTGCTATTGTGTATCAAGTCAAAAGAGCGTGAAACAATATTTCTGTTATGTTCGCGCATTAAGCAAAGCCGTGGCATGTTTAAATCATGTTCACTGAACAATGTTCACTCACTGTAACAAGCCATAACATGGGGCATTTATATTTGTTAAGTCTTTTACGAGGTTAACGCTAGAGCAATGAAAAACAGCAGAAAGGTACTTCATGTTAGCATGAACAAAACACTCCTCCACCAACCCGAGGCAGCTGCATCTTCTGAAGGCCAGCATAGCAATTTTGAGAGCTTTCCCGGGTTTTCTGTCTCTGGGCCTTCTGCTCAGTCTGTCATCCAAACAAAGCAGCTGAACGCAGAGACGCACAAAGAAACAGCCTAAGCCACAATTCTTCAAGAACTTCACTTGTACAAATATACTTTGTTAAGCATGTCTCTGAATGCTTTGCACAGCTCTAGTTCACATCTTCCCACTTGGACTATTTCGAATTCCACTGCTTCATTTATCATTTTCTTCTAGCTTCAAAGTTTCCACTTGATCTTGAAATATGGCATGTCAACGGAAAGGACATTACCACTCTTTTTTATTAGGGAGACTGACCCTACAATAATGAACAACAATGAACAACTATTTTTAACTTGACTGTTCATATATTCTAATGTAAATTATTAATGGAACCAAATCTTTTAAAAACCATTTTCACCCACTTGCCAAAAGCATTTCTACTGGCCTACTCTGAAGGAATTTGTATATTCTGTTGTGGAACAGGTAAGGGAATGACCACTTATGGGGTCTGTTTAGTTTCAAATGTTTCAAACGTTAATTTGATTCATCAACTACGGGTAGGCATGGGTTAAGTTCAAATGCAATATAAACCATGGAAAGATGCTATCAGAATGCATTACATACACATATGCTTAAATCTCCCATTGTGCTCCATTTAATTAGCTCCACTGTAAAGGGGTGGGGAAAAGATCTACCCATCTACTATATACGTTCAGCTATAATATGGAATGAAAGAACATTCAGGCTCCTTTTTCATTGTGTAAATGTCACATGTGAAAACTCACAATCAATTCAACACAATAGGTCAGATTCCTTTTTGGCCTGCAAAACTAAATAAAAGTTAGCCCTTAGCCACTAAAAACATAAATACTAATATTTTCAGCCAATTTCTCTATACTTCTACAACTAAAAGCCTACAATTTAAGACCGCAGGTAATGCAAAAACTTTATTTAATAATCAAATTAAGCAGCTTTTTGTAAACATTTTTGAGAAAGTAAAGGAGATCCATTCCTAACAAAATTAAATGTCTTAATTTTGTATTCATCAAACTTTCTTTGGTCTTTTAGTGTTAAATTAAAACTCCTTAGACTGGATTGCTGGAATCTCCTGATTATGTTAAACTTCTCCTCACTCCCTTGCTCTTCCTAAAACCACACAGGAGGTTTGCAGAAGCTCATCCCCAATTTAGCAATAGCCTTGTCCTATGAGACAAGGCAATTTGACAGAATACATTGATCAACTTACATTAATGCTCCCGTAAAAGCCACATATGCAGCTCGCTTTATTTTTATGTAACAGCAGAGATCAAATTGGCAAGAGCTGGATCAATGGATTCCACCAAATATGCATTATATAGGTAACATTTCATTATGAAAAGGTTCCAGATAGAAACGGGTTTTATTAAATTGTGTACATTGTACCATAATTCTTGATTTTGATTTGCTAACTGTACTCTAATATGCATGCAATTATGCATACAATCAATGTACATATTTGATTTTTAAGAAATAGAAGTTTTCAAAAAGCAATATTGAACAGTGCTGTTATAAAAGTAGTTTTATAAATTCCAGACAAGCAGTCTGTAATTCAGTGATCTGGGGTGGAAAAATAATAGATTACTAAATAACAGGGTTAAAATGTATACATTTATATCCTATTTTTCACATTCTAATATACCTAAATGCATGTCAGCAGTCAATTTACAGAAATAAAAAGCAATTATGCAATTTGAAGATTTGAAGATTTGAGTTCCTGGCAGATTATACAAGATTCTTGGGAGCAAAGCACAAACTGAATAAACGAAAGGCCTAAGAAAAATTATCCAGTATTAGCTAAGCACCTGACCATAAAGTGATCAAAAGCTTTGTCCATAATATTTCAGAAAGCTTTTTCAAGTTGCTAATTGCATAAAAGTGCCAATGGCTTTTTTCAAGAACATATCTGATTTTGTACTCTCAAACAAAGCACATCAAAAATCTCACCCCATCTTTACAATGGGAAATTCTCTATTTTACATAGCCTACAAAATGTCAAACTGAGATTTGAAAATGGCACTTCAAATCAGCATCACCCCACCATCTCCCGCCTTCCGCTCCTACTCAAGAGAGGAGAAATAACATGGTAGGCTAAGAACAAAGAATATTTAAAAAGCAAAGGCTTCCGAGTCAGAATACCTGAGAATCCTTGGTAAGTTCTGCGTCAGAGCTGGCACACCAGTGGATATAGAAAAGTGCACAAGCAGCAAAACGGAAAGAGACACTAAAATAGCTGAATTAATGACCACCGCCCCGCCAACGAAGCCAAACACAAATAGCAGCATGCATCCAGGACTCATGGCGCTGCGCTGGCATGGTGAAACGCAAGAACCGAGGCTACGCGGGGGACAAGGGAGTATCTTTGTAGTAAATGTCTGTCATTGAGCTGCTGCCACAGAAACAATGCCATCGACAGCAGCTTTCCACTATCTTCTGCAGCAGCTCCAAAGCAAAATGACATCACCTCGCTCTCCTCCCCCACCTACAAAGAAAAAAGCAATCCGAGCGGCTTCTCTTTTCTCCAGCATCTATGCAGCAACCTAAGGATACAAGCAAGCTTGTTGGCAGTTTCCTCCACCCCCTACGCTGAACCTTTGCAGCCTGGCTCCAGTTGATTGGATGGGAAGCTCAGGCATCTACATAATGTAGACAAAGCTTTAGTTGGAGATGTTCTTTCATGACCATGTGCACAATAGTAGAACAAATGGAAATGAGATTCAGTTATTTCAGACCCTTAATTGCATATCGTTTTGTTGCTCTTCAGCTCCATCGGAGAATGAAAAAAAAAATCCTGCTATGTAAGATCTATATAAGAATGTGTTTAAACCTAAAACAGTATCAAACAGGCAATTGTCCCATGAAAATAATTTTCATCCCTCCCGAAAGACTTCTATAGTCTTTCTTATATTCCAGTAAAAATTTAATTGTGATTCGGTCTTAGTTTAATTGTGATTCAAGATAAAGAACAAAGCCTTGAAACAAAAATGAATAGGTTTTACTCAGGCAAAAATCAATGAAGCTTACCTAATTCTACTGTGCATGATAGGCTCCAGCTGATCACCTCCCATCAGTTGATGAAATTTTGCTCTTTCCAAGTGTTCCATGTAATTATGAATCATCTGTTGTTAAAAATGGGGGAATAAAAGATTTTAAACTGTTTCATATCTGTTTAAACTAATTTTTAATTATTTCTTTTCAACTTCCCAATATTCCCATCAAGGAACTATAGTCAGATGCATGTCCTATGTACTTCAGAATATATAAAACATCCTACGCATCAAAAACTATCATCATAATACGTTCTTTTCATTTCCAAAGTTATTTTCCGCTTCCAATATAAGTAGCAACTTTACCTTAATAATTGTCCGTTGCATTAATGCAAGCAATTTTTTAATCTCCACACTTTTATAACATTATGCAATTTCAGCAACATAATATAAATACACAGTTTGTCACCCAAGTGCAAACCAAGAGAATCAACAGAAGCCCCATCTGTGAACAAGTGGAAAAGATACCTTGGTAAACTGAGAAAACATCACATACTTTTGGGGAAGGGTAAGTGGTTGGAGAAGGCAACACTGATGCCCAGTTCTGATGTAATGTGAAACCATGGTTCCTCACTATGTGAATGAGTTGTGGAAAATCTCAGGTGCCCACTCAAGATTCTATGATGAAATAAGAAGTTTTCACATCTTTTAACTACAGAAGAATTAGCTGCAAGCTACTAAATTTGGGGAACTGAAAACAAGTCTCAACAGAGGTTTCAGATCCAACTTTTTCAGAAACCATAATTTAAACAGGTTACTTGACTTTTAAACCCAAGAGGAGGCGCACTTCCAATTCCCTTTATTATGAGAAGGGGAATCGGGAGCAACGTCACTTCTCATTACATCTGAACTGAGCCAGAGAAGTTGACACTGTTCTTCATTTAGCATATTTATATCCCAGCCTTGCTTTAAGATTATGTTATTAAAAGATTGGCAACTAAGAGCTTTGAATGAGTGCACATTCTCAAAACAAAGTATCTGATAGGATATGAACTTTAATATATTGTGTCAGCATGCCATTTATACTACAATGAAGGACAGAAGGACATTGCTCTCACACCCTGGTGGTTTTTCCATTGTTGCAAATGGGATGTTGGTCTCCCTTGGTCTGGACTAGGTGAAGACTCTTGGTTCAGCTATTCTGTAGACTACAGCTGACTAGACCTTGACTGCATTGTATCACAGCAAAAACAAACAAGGGGAAAGAGTAAGACAGTTGCAGAATCCATTCACAATGAGTTTAGAACATTAATCATTGTCTTGACTCCGATTCTAATACTTCTTTGTGTCACAGTAGGCTACTTCCAGATCACTTTCATATAAATGTGTTTTCTAAGATTCCGACTGTGTTGAGAATTAAAAAGTGTATTCTTAAGCTCCATAATATACCAACAAGCAACTAGGGTACTTTTTTATCTGAGTAAATTAAAGACATATACCAAGTTTTGGGTTTACCAAGGGTCAGACATCCAGATCAATCTATTTATTTACATCATTCCACAGATGGTTGGAAGCTATGTCACACTGTTTTCCAAGTACCTGATAGGACAGCCTGTAGCAAAGGCTTATTAATTTCAGATAAAATATCAGATTTTTAAAATGTGTGGAAAAAGACATTCCCATATTTCCAGCATCAAAGAAGCTCCAGATGATGCATAGAAAAGGACTCATATGCATGTTTACATGATTTCATAAAGATGGTTGAACTATTAAACAATATTTCAACAACTGTAACATTAAAATAGAAATATTTTCATAGGTAATTAATTACTCCTTTTGCAGAAAAACCAATTACAGATAAAAGGAAATTATAATTAGTACAAATATCTCTTTTTGAGTTCAACTATGTATAGCTGAGCCTACCATCACTTCAAACTGTGTTGTGATCATTTGATAAATCAAAAGGACCTTCACGGACATTTCAGATTAAGCAAAATAGCATGAGAGGCTATTTTGTCATTGTGGGGGTGAAAGAATACGGAAAGAAATTGCTACTATAACTGCACAATGAATTCATAAAGCATTAACATTATTTTTATCTGTGACCTGTATTGTCATAATTGGATAACATAAACCTCTATGTGACTTATAAATACTCTGAATAGTTTATTATCACCTGCTTTTTTAAAAAATAAAAAAGAACAAAAATGAGGCATCACTGTATTTTTTATACCATTGCTTACATAACCATAAAGCAAGTTAAACCTTATAATTAAAAAATACTGGGGTTATTAAAAATATACGTGTGCTTTATTATTTCTGATATATACTTCTTAGGCATTCACCTGATTTACCAAGAACTGTCCTTGTTGTTTTCTTGGCAGCATTTTCAGAAATGCCTTGCCCTTGCTTTCTTCCTAGAGCTGAGAGAGACTGACTGGCCTAAAGTCACCCAGCTGGCTTTGTTTCTAAGGGCAGGATTAGAACTCATAGTCTCCTGATTTCTAGCCTGGTGCCTTTAACCATTACACCATACTGGCTCTCCTTATAGGCATAGAGAATTTTAAAGCACATATATGAAAGATTTGGGGGTTTCTTTTGGCAGGGGAGACATTAATTGTTGCTTGTTAACATTGGTTGTTAAAGATTGGGTTTAATCATAGCTTTACTTTCTATTCATGGTTTTTGCTACCAAACTGGCACTCAAGGTGGCTTAATCAAGCAGTGCATATTAAACTGAAAATATCTGATTATTCTAAGAGGCACTTTTGATTAAGTTTCATTAAAATCTTTTGCCATTTATTCTTAAATATTTTTTTATAGCACTTAATGATCTTCATCATCATATGTTTGAGAGTACTTTTGTTTACAAGACACAAAAACACTTGAGCTACTGCTGAGCCAGAAGAAATTACAGTACTGTATTTCAAGATATAGTTTTTGCTATCCCTTACAAAAACACAGATTCAGATGCCTCAGATTAAACAAACTATATATTAGTATTAAAATTTCTGGATACCTAAAAGTAATGGCATAAATCCTCAAGGATGACTATCTTTAATCTTCACAAACTGACTCTTCTAGGACACAGTGACACACGACTGAAAGCCTTCTTATTTGATATGTCTATTTAACTTGCCCAACCTGCTAGGGAAAATCGGCAGGTCTTCGCTAATATACTTAGTATTGTAGAACTACACGTTACAATGCTTTCTGCATGCTCTTGCCAACCATAATCTAATCGATACTTTGAAGAGAAACATGTTTCCAACCCAATGGGTTAAGTATTATCAAATAAAATAATTAAGTTAACTGATATTTGGGATATTTGTGCAAGAAGTATAGTATTAACCAGCACTAATGTACACATATGTAATTTTATTCTTTTTCTCAAAAGATTATACTGCACATTTCTATAAATATATTCTACAGACTATTTCCACTCATCCAAGTCAGTCTATTTTCTAACTTATGAAGCCATATATTGAGAGAGGCCTTTATTAAATGCTTACTTCATACACAAATATGGGCAGCATTTTAGCATTATACTCAGCTTTTTCTAGCGTCAGAACTATTATATCTATAGGAGAAATTATGAATTTTTATAACAATTAATATAATTACTAATATCAGCTCCTTTCAAATAAGGTTCTGTTATCATCTTGAATGCAATGTTATTTTTCAGCAATACCATATTTCCTAAACTAAGTTAAAGAATGTCTGGCTGGCTAGGCATAACTACACATCTTTCATAAATGAAGGGCTGCGATATGAATAGAACCCAAGCACATTCAAAGGTTAACAATAAATTTTAGGTCTAGACTTTTGAGACATATATACAGTAAGTGATAGTTGATTGGTATTAATATTTCTTGAACACACCAGGTCTGCAAGGCAAAACAGAAGTAACTTTATATGTAATATCTTGGTGTACCACCAATACCATTAAGTGAGCATACTGCATCCCAGAGGTAATTTAACAGACAATATTCTGGACTGTAAATGTACAGTAGACTAGAAAAAAAATGGAATTATTTCCTATTGCTCAAGATTTGATGGAGGCAGAACACAGGAACCAAATGCATAGGAAAGAGTTAATACTGCACCTTACAGATTCCATCCTCTATTTATACTGTTTGTACAGCTCCCTGCAACTGTCACCTGGCCATCTATTAATTCACAAGTCTCTTGCTCTTCATTTGATAATAAAACCATGACCAATATGTGAATTTCTCCAACTCCTTCCCAATGGCTTCATTTTTTAGTTTGTAACTTTCAAAGGAGGTCCTCTATCTCATTTTTACTAATATGCAGTATACATCACCAGCACTGTACAGAAGTATTAAACTGACCCACTTTGGGAGACAACTATTGCCTGAAAAGCAGAAATATAAATTCCCACACACTATCCCCGAGGTTCAGAAAGTGACCAGAATCCCAAAAAAAATTTATTACATGAATTCAAAGATCTATATAGCTTCATTCCAACCCTAACTTAATACCATTCTTCCAGTACCTTATATTTCCTTTTCTGCATCCACCTCAATTATTCTGCAGTTTGACAATGGCATCTCAATGTACAAACTCAACATCCAAGGAAAAATAAATTGCACTGACCACAATTACCACCAACACTACTTCACAGTCATATTTGCACAATCAAGACTCTATTCGCTACTTAACCAATATAACCAATCTACATATGAATACAAACAAATCATGCGTATTTAATATTGTCACCCAGAAGAAAAGGTAGGTTTGAGTGGCATAAATCAGGCAAAATTTGACAAGAAAATACAAACACCTGTTAGTGAAACAGGAGATGGGCTTCCAGAGGTCATGGAATTACCATTTGCATTATCCAGAGCCCAGAGTCATTGAGAGTCAGATGGCGTACAAGATTATTATTATTATTATTGCTGGTC